AGAGTTTTGCAAACTCTATATTAAAGAGTCTTTTTGGAGATGCTCTTACAGGTTCAGGTACGTTCTGGAGAAATATGGTGATTTTGGTGTCTTTTGGAGCCTTTAAGTACAGAACTGCGCAGACGCGTCAGATGTTTAGATATGGATGGAGACCTTCCCAGGGTGCGATTTAGCTGATATTTGAACAAAAGATAGAGCTTTGAGTTAGATTTCCAATGCCACCGGTTTGAGGTAAATCCAACGGTTGGATCAGAAGTTATGCCTATTTTACTGAAGAGTGGTCAGTCTGCCTCGCGAGAGAAAGCTGCCGAGAAGATATGTGCATGTCGATCGATGAGAGACACCTCATATCGATCGATATGGATGCCAGAATGTGGGCCGAGTATATTTCATGACCAACTGAAGCCCTGAAGAAACCTAAATTACCAGAATGCCCTTGTACGACCAGAAACCCTATTTATGTTATTTGCTAGCCATTGTTGACGGCTATGCTATCTAAGCTTTCTTTGATTCATTATTCTTTGTGAGGAGAGAAGGGAGGAACTCCTATCAGAGTCCTCCTGGATCTTTATTGGTTTTGGTTTTATATTATTTATGGTATTCATCTATTCATCTATGATTTCTATGACAATCTTCATATCTAAATAGATCCACCTGTTGGATTTAGGGTTCAGATAGGTTGTGGGATTAGCCCCAACTATAGATTGCTAAGTTGTGATATTCATTGTTAGGATGTTCTTAATGCTTGTTTCTAGAGTCATGTACAAGCTAAGATCTTTTAGGCACGTGCGATAGGCGGCCCTAATGATCTTGGTGAACACAGTTTCGATTCGATCTTATCGATCGATACTCCTATAGAGTAATCGATCGAAGGCAACTCATATCGCCCGACACTGCGATAACAACATCGGTCGATATTGCCGGCAGACATATCAATGGACGAGTCTAACTAGCGATAGCTATAAATTTGTCTAAGAATTGAAGTTCTTATATATCATGCATGCAACTTGTTAGGCATCTATAGCATTATAATCCCGATTACCTGAATAGAACCCTAGATCCAGCAACCATCCTTCCATCTAACAAATCCTTGCCAAGCTGAACAATTACCTTGTTCATCTTGTTTACTGTTTTCAAGTTTATTTATTTACTGCATTAAAACTTATTAGCCTAGCTTAATCTTATAACTATTAGATCTATTAGGTTCCCTAGCTCCCCGTGAATTCGATTCCTAAGTACTACAATTGAACCTCTTATTTGAGAGAGTAATTCAATCCTTAGGGTTAAACATTTGAGTGATATCAGTGTCCCTTGGTATCCCACCTTCTCTTTGCTGATAATAGTCTGTTTTTTTGTAAGGCGGAACCCCGTGAATGTGAAGAAGCAATGAAAGTGGTCAAGAGATATGGACAAGCTTCAGGACAATGTATAAACTTTGAAAAATCTTCTTTACTCTTTGGTAAAAGGATCGGTCATGATGTGAGACAAGAGCTCAAAGACACACTTGGAATCCAATGAAGGAGTAATGGGAACCTACTTAGGTATCCCAGAGGATATTAGTGGATCCAAATGTAAGCTCTTTGCCTTCCTTAAGGACAAGCTAAGGAATAGAGTGAATGGATGGACTGGACAGTGGCTTTCAAAAGGAGGCAAAGAAGTTTTGATAAAATCGATACTGCTAGCCCTTCCCACTTATGTAATGTCATGTTTTCTTCTTCCTTTGGAGATTTGTGAGAATTTAGCTAGTGTCATCACGCAGTTCTGGTGGAGTTCAAACCCTCCAAAAAGGGGTATACATTGGACAACATGGGATAAGTTATGTCTATCTAGAGAAGAAGGAGGGGATTGGTTTTAGAATGATACACGAGTTCAACCTGGCGTTACTAGCAAAGCAATTATGGAGATTAGCTCAACATCCGGATTCCCTAGTAGCTCGCGTTTTGAGAGGTAGGTACTACAAATTGAGTTCGCCTTTGCGTCAACTCCCTGTTAGTAGCCCATCATATGTGTGGACAAGCATATCGGCATGACGAGAATTATTATTGTTGGGTATAAGACAAAAGGTTCACTCGGGGTATGAGGTAAAAGTCTGGGAAGATCCTTGGATCCCTACTATCCCAGCTAGACCAACAACCCCATCGGCACCAGTCTTGAATCCAAACATGAGAGTGAGTGATTTGATTAACCAAGCAACAAAAACTTGGGATGAAGGCCGTCTTGTGAATTATGTAGCTACTGCTGATATACCCCTCATCAAGAGTATGGCAATTAGCTCCACACATAGCCGGGATACGTACTGCTGGAGCTATACAAGGAATGGACAATATACAGTTAAATCTGGATATTGGGTAACACTGGATATTTTGAGGAAGGAAGAAGATCCTGCTGTATGCGAACCTAGTATCACAAAGCTTCAAGCACATGCTTGGAAGGTTAAGGCACCCCAGGAGATATGTCACCTTATGTGGCAATTAATAACAGGTCACATGGCTGTTACGAGTGTTCTAAATTACAGACATATGCGATGTGATAACCACTGCCCACGATGTGGGGAATCAGAAGAAACGATTGCACATGCTATCTTTGAATGTCCTCCCGCATTGCAAGTTTGGGCGTTATCATCCACGCCTACCAGTCCTTCTTTGTTTCCACTTCAGAGCACATATGCGAACATGGATTACCTTTTCTGGAGGAAAAATTCTATAATGGAACCGGAATTAGATAGGGAGCCTTATCTCTGGCTAATTTGGTACATTTGGAAGGCTCGAAATAATAAGCTGTTCAGAGGTAAAGATAGAGACCCTTTGGAGTTGGCGCGCTATGTAGAAAGTGAGTGCCAAGCCTGGTTTGAAGCAAACGAGCAGGATATATCGTCATCCCCAGGGAATGGAGGTGAAGAAAACCAGGCCGTAAGTCTGGGTAATTTATGCATGGTGGATGGGTCTTGGACTGCTACAGATAACTTCAGTCGGTGCGGTTGAGTTTGGAATGATAGCTCGGGGAATAGCCAGTTAATGGGATTGCGTAATTTGGATAGAGTGGAGTCTGCGTTGCATTCAGAGTTGGAGGCACTGCGGTGGGCAATAGAGAATATGCTTCAACATTCGCCATGTCAGAGCTTTTAAACTGATTGTAAGGAGATGATCGCGATGATCAGGAACCCCCATCAATGGCCTAGCTTCTCTACGGAGTTGAAAAAACTCTTTACTTTAAGGATTTGCTTCCCCGATTTCAAGATTTTTTATGTTCCTAGGTTGCAGAACAGTTTTTCTGATTCTCAAGCTAAGACGGTTAGATCATTTTATCGTAAGCTTTTGTATGTTGGTTGTTCTATTCCGGTCTGGCTACCCAGACAACCTCAAGCTTGAGTAATATATCAGTCTTTCGTTGCCAAAAAATAAAAATAAAAATAATTTCAACTATTTAAGTGAATCCTTACAACCATTAAACTAAAGCATTGCAATTGTTTAAATGAAGAAATGCAACTGTTTTTTTTATTGTAACTACTAGTGATGAACCATTGCAACCTTTTGGTCATACGAAAGCTTCGGAATACACATGAAAAATCAGATCTTTGAATCAGAAAAACACTTACCTGAATGTTAAGGAATGTTGAATCGATAAGACTCAGATCCATCTGAGAGAAGGGGGAGCAACATTCAAAGTTCGAATCTTTCCTCCAACTTTATTGGTAAACATGACCAAACACACACTCTTTCTGACGGAGGCGGTGAAACGGTCATTGAATCTCGAGCTCATCTACCTCGAGCTCAGCTATGATGGATCCCAAACCCAGTCACTGCAAATCTCGAGCTCATTTACTCTGAAACTCCATCGAAGCTTCCCGGAGAATCACCTAGGTGGATCCCGAGCTTACCCACAGCGAATCCGGAGGTCATCCACGATCGATCTCATTACAAGATTTGGTCTCATCAACACACCCACCTATTCTCTCTTGATTTTTTTTTTGGAACTCTGGGTATTAGGTTTTGAGGATATGAGAAAGTATAACTGAGTTAGATAAAGAAAAATGAACGGCTCTAGTTTCGTATGATTAGGATAGAACAGGAAATGAAAAAGTGAAGTCTGATTTAGTTCAAGGGTGTTAGTATCTTTAGACATACAATATGTGTGTCACAAGTACAATGTGTCTCAAATGCAATTTAAAACTAGATTTTTGACCATTTTTGTTATTTTATCTACATATGGATTGATAAGTTTTTTTTTGCTTTGATGATATAAAATGTTCATGTCTAATATAACTTTCTAAAATTATTGTAGATTTAAATTTATTATTATTAGCATCAATATCTATGTAAATGTATTATATGTAATTGTGTAATTTTATTTTGGAAAAATAATATCAATTAACTACGCTTGGTGCTGGGAAGCGGGTCAAACTCGCTCTGCTCGACCCGCCTGACCCGCAAAGAAAATAAATTGTATATGTGTCCACACCACTTAATTTTTCGAATAATCCCCGAGACCTGCGGATAATTATTAATAATAAAAATAAATATTTTTTATTTTTTTCTAAAAATAATATCAAATATTATATTTTTTAATTAATTTTTTATTTTTTAAAAAAAATAATTATTTTTTAAGGAAATTTAGTATATTTCTGAAAATATTTTTTTAAAATTCTTTTTTCTATTTTTGTGTATTACCGGAGACCTACAACTGAAATTAGAACAGTCCGCATCCGCGTAAAATATATTTGACCTGCACCCGCATCCGCAACTTAATTTTTTCAAATATTGATTCACCCGTTCTGTGGTGGGTCGAATGAGACAGGACCAGCGGACTAATAATTAGAAGGTGAATTTGAATCATTAATAAAACACATTAGTATATAGTTTTTAGGCACAAAATAAAAATACCAAATTATCATAAATGAAAAATTAAATTTGTCATAATATTAAGGATATTTTTGAAAAACTTAAAAATTTTATTGAAGGAAGTGATCTTGTTTTAATAGTATTTGTTTTAATAGTATTGATTTATAAAGTGTCTATAGAAATAAAAAAAAATCTTTATATAATAAGATGTCTGGGTCAGGCCCAAGATTTGGAAAAACATTAGAGACATAAATGTGGTGTGAACATAATAAAGAAAAACATTTACTATAAATAGACAAATATAACCTTATCAAACCTTAGCAACTTCGCATGGTAAGTGGAACTTCCCCATCATCTCAAAGCTTCACCATCACAATCTTTCTTCTCTTTCTCAAGAAACGTCAAGAAGAAAAAAAAATCATGCAAAAAAGACATATCAGATAGAAGACAACAATTTTGTGGAGATTACTATAAGGAAATTAAAAAAGTGTTTAGCTAGTCTCTTACCTCTATAGCAAAGAGCATATTCTCCAATATCTTCTTTAAAAAATATTCCTGATGCATAAAAAGAAACAAAAGAAAACATAGATAATAAACTTGTACATCATCATGTCCACACCTTCTCTTGTTCAGATGAAGAATCAGAGGCTCAAATCATCTTTTCGTTCTTTCTTCTGCAGATAAGTACTATCAGATGCTGAAGTATTTGAAGAAGAAGCATCAGTTCTGATTTTGTTGAACCTGATGACTCGCCTCCCTTCGATCACCTCTAGTTCTATCTCGGTTGCAACAAAATCCTGTCTGCAATTTGGACAAGACAAGGTCCCGTTAAGATAAGCACTATCAATCCCAAACTGACAATATGTGTTGCATCTATCACACTTTGTCCAAAAGGTACTAGTAGCTTTCACATAACTCCATGAAAAATGTGGCTTAGACTCATGTTGAGCTTTATTCCATGTAAAATCAGGCTCCGGCTCAGACTCAGGGTCAGACTCAGTCTCAGGGTCAGACTCAGACTCATATTGGTACTCATATTTTGGCTTATTCCATGAAAAATCTGGCTTGTGTCGCTTTGGTTCTTTCTGGTACATTCCACTCTCTATATCTGTTGATTTCCTCTTCAGATCATAAGCAAATCTCTGAGCCTTGTCAGATAACACACACCAAGCTTCTGAGATCAGCTTAAACGCCTCTGTTGCACCAGTAAATTTGTTCTTATCAGGATGAAGCAAAAGAGCTAACTTCTTGTACTGTCTTTTCAGATCTTCATCTTTAACCAAAGGATCAACACTAAGAACTCCATACCAATCGGCTTCTCCTTTTCTGTTGATCTTGTCTAATGCAGAGATGTAGACATCGATCATCATCGACACTTGTTTCAATCCATCAAGCTTTGGATACAAATTCTGAGCCTTGTTGACGAATTTCTTGGCTCCTACGTAATCATTCTCTGAGATTTTCTTCTCAGCAATGCTTATTGATTTTATAGCTTCATCCTTGTTAATTTCCATGTTACTTGATTCCCAATACTACCTATGTTTCTTACAGATCAAGAAACCGTGCAATCGTTAGCCCTAAATCTGGTTTTGATTGATCCCCAGGTAACTAGCCGTAAAACCCTAGAGACGAGATACGAGAGGGCGAAGAAGGGAGGGGAATTGAATAATAGGCAAACAACAATAAAGAGAGACCTCGTATCTCTTTATACAATTGATTTTCTGGTTTTTCTTTTGTTTTCTATTTTTTTTTCTTTTGTTTTCCTTTTACAAAAAGGATTACTGGAATCTATTTTCGTAACCTTTTTTTCAAAAAAAAAAAGTAAAACTTATTTCTGTAACCTTAGAAGATAAATAGTTTAGTTATGGTATGAACTGATCTCTGATCATAAGTCTGTATTTTGTTAATATATATATTTGGATCATCTCATATCTGGATTGATCAGTAACTCCCTCTCTCTCGTTGTGTTGTCAAGGATTGTTATTACCATCTATATTAATGTTACTAGGCCATAGTGACCATTGCTTACAACTATTTCGAGAAGGACTGGTTCAGAGAATGCCACGGTATTATATATAGTGATCGACTTATTATTTGTTTTTCATTTTCTGAGTTGTTAAGCTGTCATTCGTTCAGAGTTCAGACTGTGGAAAGTTGGCTGTGTAAGTCTATAGTTCAGAGTTGATAAACCTTTGTATTGGTTGGTTAAACAGAGTAATGAAGTTGTAATGTTATGTCTGTAGTTCTCTTATACCAGATTAAATTGTTGGCCAATCAACAGGTAAAGAAAAGAGTAGAGACTGGATGCAAGTGAGTGGAAGAAGTGGATGTCTCTGTCTCTCTATACCACGATAGTACTAACTAATCCTCAACCCTTTCCCATATTGCCATATCTCATGAAAATCCTTTCTATGCACGTTACAAGTTTGGGATTTTCTTATTACTCTTATTCGATCCATCTCATAAGCTCTTCTGTGAAGTGACATGAGCAGCTTTAACCACTGGTTGTTCTGTCATCAGTACATTGTGTGATCACAAACGAAACATTAATTATAGGGAAATTGGGTTTAATAGCCAAACAAAAACCCATATTTAGCCTACTAGCCAAAAGCCCTAACAGATCAACTCACGCCGTTTGCTTTCTATAATATGGCCATATTATCCCTATCCTAAACTGGTTTCACCGGCTAAAAGAAATTAAATTATTTTAATTTACTCTGGCAGGAACTGTAAATCGTGTCTAACCGTCCTCCACTCCTTCACCTCAAATCTTCACATCTTCTTCATGCTTATCAAGTTCGTCCTCTCCTCCAATGATGAAATCGGCTCTCAATCGATGGTGGTAACTCCGCAGCGGCGCCAATTAACAACCCGTCTCAATTCCACTTCTCACAACCAGTGTTCAAGGAAACTTATGAAACTCCAATCGTCTCCGATCGATTGACAGACGGTAAGTTCTCTAGTTTATTCTCTTCATGTCGTTTTATTGTCAATTATATTTCTACTTTGTTATGGAAATTAGGTCTCTGAAACTCCCATAAATTCCCCTTTGTTTTCCGTAGATTCTCTTCACTGTCTCTTTGTTTGTGCAAATTCACTTTCTATTCTATTTGGCTTGGATGCGCTTCCATTTTATTGTGTTTTCTCTTCCATTTGAATAGTATAGTTTATGGTTTACTCATTGTTTTTCGTACATTATAATTGTATTTTCTTCGATAAATGAATTATACAGTATACTAATTTAATTTTACTGTGTGGAATAACATTGCATTATGGTCAATTTCGTTTGTTGTATTGAATAGCAGCTGCAATACAACTTGTATGCGTGAGATCTTTTATGCATATTTTATTTGAAATAGAATAGAAAATATTATATGTTCAAACTATTCTATTTGAGATAGAAGCGATTGATAAACTATTCTATGTGAGATAAAGTTGCATGATATGTATTGAATACACTACCGTTCTTCATCATTATTTGAAATATAAAAAGTTTGTTTCTATATAAAATACAATGGATTACTCTGTTATAACCATGTTTTCCTCTTACTTTGTTTTTCAAGTTTATCAAAGAAGAATTAGGCCTTCAAGTGGATTGTTTGAGACCTATTTATAACCATGTTTCCCTCTTATTTTGTTCTTCAGTTTGGCATGGACTCAATTGTGGTGAAATAGTTAACTTTTACCGACATGAAAAGACTAAGGTCTTGCGCGAGGGAAGAGAACCGGAAGAGGGTTCAATCTTGTTTTTGTTGTTTCATGTTTTATTGACATAAGTTTTGTATCAGTACATATCTATGTGTTTTATGTTAGTGTGTTTATGATTTTGTAAAGAAAAACAATATATTAGACGTAAAAAGAATAGCATTTATTATGACATCAAAGGAAACAAAATAAAATGTGATGTTGAATGGAATGATATTCATATGATGTTGTCTATCTCTTTTGTTTCGTTCTATTTGGGTTTATGGTCTATATTTGGGTTTAGGGTTTAGTGGTTAGGATTTAGGGTTTAGTATTTGGAAGGGGGGTTGAGGTTTGGGTTTAGTGACCCTATCATGTATTGTTCCGTTTGATGATTAATAAAGAGTGTTTAAATTTGTTCACTAATATGTACTATTCTATCTATTTCGTTCCATTTTATTTGGGTTTATGATTTATACTTGGGTTTAGGGTTTAGTAATTATGATTTAGGGTTTAATATTAGTAAAAATGTTATATTTTGCACACCAATATGTACTATTCTATGTATTTTGTTTCTTTCTATTTGGGTTTATGATCTATATTTAGGTTTAGGGTTTAGTGATAAAGATTTGGGGTTTCGTATTTGGAAAGTGGGGGGTTGAAGTTTGGGTTTATTGATAGCAATAGTAAAAGAATATGTTTGTGGTAATTATGTGGGGTTACAATTTTATACTATTTTGACGATATAGAATAGAAGTTGAGATAATATTTAGTATTAAAGGATTGTGAATTGAGTTATAATTCTATACTATTTCTGCAATATGGAATAGAATATTCGATATACATATATGTGGTTAAAAAATGTGTGACGTGATAGTAAATACACCACAAAAGGAACAACGTCATCTAATTTTTGATTTTTCGCCTGCAACTGGAAACTTGTTAATTGAAAGGGTAGAACCGGATAATTTGTGGTACAAATATCTGACATCAAATTATGTCAAAATCATTGCTATTCACCTAATTTCTCTCTCAAATATAGCTATTACACAAATAAGCCCTTAATTACATATCATCATTTTACTGTAATTTAACGTTCTTTTGTCTGATATGCCGCTTTAATAGCAGAACCATAGACAGATTCCAAATACTTTCAAGGATTAAGGAAAATCTATCAAGAAGTGAGAGAATGGAAAAAGAAATATATTTGTAAGATTGTTATTTCTTGTTTCAACTTGGAAACGTGAGTCAAGTAGTGATAAGTGTAGGCACTTTTGATTAATCAACTAAATCTATTACTAAAAGACTACAAAAATACTTCAATAGAAACATTAAAAAAAATCAAGATTCTTCAACCTCTGATCTCTTACTTCTTATCTCGCATCTGTCCTTCCTCTTTTTGAAAACAGCCTATGTGCTTTTATAAGTAAAGTTTAGATCTTCAAATCCACCAGAACCTGGCTCCTGCCTTGCCCTCTTTGGATTATCTCTAGCAGCAGAAGAAGGAGGCTTTGGTTCACTCTTCTTCTCTTTAGCTTCTTTCATTTTACTCTTCTGATCATAGGCAATTCTCTTGCCCTTGTCAGATAACAGAGACCAAGCATCTAAAACCAGCTTAAACGCGCCTTCTTGTACTGTTTCTTCAGAGCTTCTTCATCGGATAAAGGATCTACGGCGAGAATCCCGAACCAATCTGATTCACTTCCGTTGGTCTTGTTAGATGCAGAGATGTAAACATTAGCCATCGTTGAGATTTGATTCAAACTATCGAGGGTTGGATATAAAGTCTTGGCTTTTCTAGCGAATCTCTTGGCTTCTGATACAGCCTGGAAATCAAGGTAGGCGAGATGGGTGATGGAAGCTTGGATGAATCGACCAAATAAATGATCGGGTGGGCAATATGAATGGATTATGAGATGTGAAACTGAAACAAATGCAAATGTAATGAGATGTGGTTTATACTAAGAACCAAACAAGATAAATAAACAAAGGAAAAATATAGCTATGGTGGAATCAAGCTGCTGGATGTGTATCACTCTGCTTGATCAAATAATAGATCGAAGTGGATTTGCGTATGAAGGTTTGATTGAATCTCTCAATTTGGTGGGATGATGGACGATGTGATTGAATCTCTGAATTTGCGTACTGAACTTGTTTGATTTGCACAAACAAACTAGACTCATGAAATGAGTAGAACAACAAAGAATCACACTTTGAATCCTAAAGATCAATATTTTATGCAAAGAACCATCTTTGATAAAAACTGAATAAAATTCTTATAAACTTAGGTGATTGAAAGGTCCTTTCTACAATGAACTAGAGTGAGATTATATAAGTCGTGGTGTTTGCTCAGAATTACAAAACTAAGGAAAGAAAAGTCAAGCATTTAAAATAATAGCCGTTGGAGCCTTTTGTGGGATTTTAGCTCCAAGTAAAGAATCTGATTCTTCTTGAACCTGCACGGTTTAAGGGGATAAGAGAGATTCCCTGGGACCTTCTGGATGGCTCGGAAGGTGCTTGTTTCGTCCAAAAACTCTTGGCAAAAGAGCTGTTGGACTTTTAATGGCTGAGACTCCAAATAAGGTAAGATGGGGTAAATGAGGATCCTCCTAATCCTATGTGAACTGGTGCATGGTAGGAACTAATGGAACTCCTCTGGCTCGTGGTAAGGTCTTATGGATGGTCTATAGTATCTTTTGGCTTCCATAGAAATGTTTGGGTTGGACCAAACTGAATTAGGTTAAAACTCTCTCCAATTGCTGTCCGTTTGGCCAATTGATGCAAACCGGTTTTATCTTCTGGTCTGATTGATATCCGCCTGATCCCATGTGGTCTGGTGCTTCCAAAGATGTTTTGGAGTGCCTATGAATGACTTAGAAGGTCTCCTGGTCGTCTTTCTTGAGAATAGATTGAGGTAAAACTCGGATCTTCCAAATTAGGCAAGTGTAGAGTTGGTTTGGCCGGTTTAGGGAAGTTGATCATATCTTCTGGTTTACTCGACCATTTCTCGTGATTTTGCAACCTGAAAAATTCTCAGCATTCTGGACAAAAAGCAAGTGCATTATAACTGTGTTTGGACACTGATAAACATAATATGAAAGTTCCATACTTTGATAGCTTCCACAAGTTGAAGAATTATTTTCTTCTTTGGACAGCTTTAGTTAGATGGCTGACTTTTTTTGTTATCTTACATCTTTGCATGTATGACCTTCTTCTGGTCTTATTCCTGGATCAAAAATTTCTAGCAAAGATTAGTGCATTATAATTGGATAATCAAGGTATATGGACGCACTCGTACTAGAGAAAATTTCTTTACTTTGACCGACTTTGAATGGTGTTGGGTTAGCCTCTCTTTAGACTGGTTTCTGCTCAACATCTATTAACATCATGGCTGGTGTCTCATTCTTTCGGGAAGTGTACTCCTTGGTTCCTGAAACTATTTCACATTCTCTTGGAAAAGACAAGTGCATTAATCTTGTCATGGAGTTAATAATAAAATTCTGGTCTAATGTGAAACAAACCTTAAGCCTTGGCATTTGAACAACACATTGTTCACCTTTAGGCTTCCACTTGTGAGGTGGTTCATGGCGGAACCTATGGTCTGGTTCGGCTCTGGGTACTTCAATCAGCATAGCGCTTTCATTCTTGCTCCCTATATCACGAAAACACACGTCAGTACCAGTGTCTAAAAGTGGTGTTAGACACTTACCCTGACACTTCAGTTACTGGTTTTGCTTCTTTACGCAACATGGACTGCAATGGGTTTTGAACCAGCTTCTGGTCTATCACAAGGAGGACGTCTGGTGGTTCTTCTCCAGTGAATTATTGCTCCTTAATTCCTGTTACAACACCTTTTGACAAAGACAAGTGCATCATACAAGAATTTGGAACCAATAAATCAGATTGAATAAAACTATCACTCTTCCTACATAAATCTGTTTTATTTTATAGTGATGTTTTTATCAATGCTTGCTTAGTGGGGAAAACTACAGAAAAGTGTCCTCTTTTATGACATCTATAACATGTCTGATCTTTCAGACTTTTAGAATTAAAAAAGTTACCTTGGCTTAATGCCTCTTCTTTTGAGTTTGAAATCTCCTCATTCATTGGAATTAAATCATGGGTAGCTTTGGATTCCAACAAGGACGTTGAGGTCATGTCTTTCTGGACCTCAGGACCTGTCTTAACATTCTTGGACAAAGACAAGTGACTCATAACAGTGGGAGATGATTTATAAACCAAATTATCAAGTATATGACGTACACTTAGTCTTTACTTGAACAATAGCTTGCTCTGGTTTTTCTTTGGACCTGGTCAAAGTGTTTTGGCCGACAAGGTTCTTCTTCTCTGTGGCCTTTTGGGACCTCATAAGGCTGTTGATGATCATTGAAACCTGTGGGTCTCTGGTTTGGTTGAATCTAGTCTTGATGGATCAAGCCTCAATGGCCTTCTTTTGGTACAGCTCTCTTTGCCTCTTTAGACCTATGGCTTGAAAATCTCCTTTGGTGCTTTTCTCTTTCCTGGTGAAGAATGTAGGATACATACTTCCTGATCATGACCCATTTAAGATCATCCCAGTTGTTGACAACTTTTTCCATATGCATAATCTACTCTTTTCCACCATTTGGATGCGTTTCCAGAGAGTTCCTTGATGGCATGGGCTAGTCTCTCCTTCTTTGGCACGCCATGGTATGAAACCAATCATCCATGGTTATTTCCCATGATAGATAGTCATCTGGCCAACTGCTACCAGAGAAAGAATAAAGCTTAACTTCATTAGGAGATTTAAAATCAAGATAAGAATGAGTTAAGTAATCATGAGTGTGAGAAGTGTGGTGTGGGGTGATCCATGAAGGATCCGGTGGCTTGGGCTCAACACAACCAGCCTCTGGTGCATATCCAAATCTTCCTTCTCCATGTGGTGGCCGTCGGCGTTGTGGCTTATTTCTTTTTCCCATCTGAGCAATCTTATTATGGAGCTCTTGTACAGATTCTAAGTGTTGGCTCAGTCTGGCCTCTAGGGTTAGGCCGTGTGTTTCCTCTGTCATTACTTTCTGAAAACAATCTCAAAGAGCAAGTGAAGATATGGGAAGTTCTGGACGAAACAAATTAAGTAACCAAAATGCAAACTAATTAAAACTAAACAAAAAAAAAATATGTCACTTGAAACAAAATGAAATAAGTTATGCAAAATGATTTTTCTTTTAATTTTTTGGATGCAAAAGCGAAATGGACTATATGATATGATAATAAAAATATGGAATGAAAACTAATACTGATATTTTAAATTTTAATTTTTAAGTTTATCGGATATGCAATAAACCAAAATGAAACAAATATGTATGCCTTCAAATAAATCTAAGAATGATTGTTTTTTTCTTTTCTTTTTCTGTATGCAAGCTTAATAATATGAAGTAAAATATTCTATGCACGAAATTTATGAAAATGATATGACTTTTTATTTTTATTTTTATTTTTTTAATGCAAGTTATATCATCTTTCTTGTGTCCGTGTGTGTTGACGTCGGAGGAGACGAGCTGAGACGTAGCCACCACCATTGTTTACCATCGGAGTCTTTAGTTACTAATAGAGATGAAGCGTAAGTTGATTTTGATGGCCACGATGCGTTGCCGTTTCATACCGGAGATTCTGCATGTCACTGGAAAGTCATGTCGTGATACACGGGAGATCGCAGCACCATCGTCATCTACCGCAAATCCACTCCGTGAGGTTCAATGCTCCTTTTTCCAAGTTGCTTGTGAAGCAAGTAATCTTGTGTAGTAACCTTAGATTAATTATATTTTAATCATATCTCTTATTATTTTGTTTATGTTCTTTTCCGATCTGATGTGTTGTTGGCGAGATCAAGATCCATGGTGAACCCTAGTGATTCTTGATGATTAAGTCATTTTATTATTTTCCGATCCACTTTCTGTTCTCCGATCCTGTCCAAGGTGAGGGTCTATTCCGCGAATCCCGATACTAGTGTAGAATTCTTCCTATCTTAGTTTAGATTTCGAAGCATGATCCGTCTATTTGAATTGAGTCTGGTTGATTCTTGTTTGATAGTTAGGTTATTAAATGTAAACCGGAATTAGGAGGATTCAACTATTGTTTGTATTGATTGATGTTAAATGGTTAAATATATATATGATGAGTACGGAGGACAGAGCAATCTGAGCTATCGACGTATATGAGTACCTGGGCCAGAAAAATCTGAGCTATCGACGTATATGAGTGCGGGGATTCAGAGACATCCGTGCTATCGACGCATATTGGAGTGTGTAGGCTCAAAGACGTTTGGGCTAGCGATGCATATTTGTGTGGTGCGGGGTGTAGAGACGTTTGCATATCGACGCATAGTTGTGAAGTGCGGGGGTTCAGAGATGTCTGGACTAGCGATGCAAATTATGATATCGTATATCCGTATGAAAAGAATGCGGGGTGTGTAGACTAGCTATGTACCATCAGTGCATTGTTTGTTTTGTGTGATGTGTTAGACATTATGTTTGTTCATATTAGAGCTAAACTTCCATAGTGGGAGTTCTATTTACTTAGTCAATGTTTTGCGTGTTTAGCATCCCATACTTCACTGAGTGACTCCCCTCTTACTCACCTCTCTTTCTCTTCCCTTTCAAGTGAGACTGACGATATGGAGTGATCTATCTCGGATTGGTGCTTTTGGGAGTTTTATTTATTTATTTTCAGACTTATTCCTTTATCAATATTTTCGAGCCTTGTTATG